GTTCCAGTGTCTGAGTCCCTATTGTGGCTTTGTGTCTGAGAATGTGTCAGCATTCCCTGATGCCTGTCTGCGCAACACACATTGGTTGAACGCCTACTGAGTTTTGGCCGCTGGGGATGTGACTGGAGCTCTGCACCTGTTTCTGGTGCATGCAGGGAGTTTCAGGCCTGGGGAAATTCTGCCCTGAATAAAAGCTTCAGAGTTGGGAGAGAAGGCACACTTTACTGAGAACCTATAGTGTTAGGTTCTGTGTTAGTGTGACTTTTGTTCCCATTTTACAGATGAGAAAACAGAGTCAGAAAGGGAAAATGTCTTGGGAAAACAGGGTGGGGTTGCGGACAGGAAGCCTTTGGAGGTACATACATTTCTATTTGATTCCATTCATTCCCTGCTGGTGTTTTTTTGTTTGTTTTTTTTATCAGCCCATGACTTTGGGCATGTTTTAAACCTCTGTAGCCTTGCTTTCATGGTCTAGATCACAGGATAATAGCACCCATCCCATGGTTTTCTTGTGAGGAGTAAATGAGAAAAGGTATGTAAACTTTTCCTCCTGCATCCTCCCACTCACTCATTCCTCCATGGGAGATTTATTGAGCACTTGCCATGTGACAAGTTTTTTTTTTTAAGCATATTTTTATTGATTTCAGAGAGGGAGAGAGAGATTAAAACATCAATGATGATAGAGAATTGGCTGCCTCCTGCATGCCCCCCGACCCCCTGGGGACTGAACCCGTAACCCAGGCATGTGCCCTGATTGGAGTTAAACTGTGACCACCTGGTTCATAGGTCAACGCTCAACCACTGAGCTATGCCAACCGGGCTGTAATAGGCCTTGTACCAAGCATTGGGGCTGCCATAAAGAACAACATAGGTATAATCTCTGCCTCAAGAAACTTAGAGGCTCGAAGGGTACACAGATAATTAAATAGGTGATAGATCAGAGCTATAATGAATGGAGGAGCCAGGGGAGTGTTGTGGGAACAAATAACACAGCTCCATTTATCCCGTGCTTGAGAAGTCAGGGAAGATGTCTGGAGGGAGTATTGTCTCAGTTGAGCCTTAAAAGACGAGTTGGCATTGGGAAGGGAAGGGCTTCAGAGAGAGGGAACGGCATGATCAGAACCCAAAGACAAGAGATCATGTGGGCTCCAGAACCAAAAGCAGTTTAGTGTGGCCACAATTCAGAGATGGAAAGGTTACCTGATGATGGGGAGGCAAATGGGCAGAGGGGACAACAATGGGGGGGTGGGGTCAGTGGCCAGGCTAGAGGTGCTGGTCTGACTCAAGTCAGGAGAGAGAGGAGGGCAGTGGGGTTGGAGGGGAAAGGATGAAAGGATGAGTTCACATATAGAGTCACTGGGACTAGAGTCACTGTTGTGGATTGGACAGGGGGGATGAGGGAGAAGGGAGAGTCAAAGGATGCCTGATTTCTGGTTGGGCAGACAGCTCTCCCCCGAGATGGGGAACTTCCAGGCTGGGGGAGCCCTGGGGAAGATGGCGCACTCAGCTTCAACCAGGCTCAATCTGAGTTACGTCCTGTGGGATTTGGGAGTGATGTTCAGGAGCATGTACACTGTGTGAATGGCATTCCCTGGCATTGGGCAACATGCCAGCCTGGAGAGTTCAGCTGGAGAGTGGGGTCAGAGGCCCAGGAAGGTGTCTGGGCTGGAGAGGGAGGTCAGAAAATCAGCACAGAGGCTGTCATGGAGGTGCTGCAAGTGGCTTGGAGGGTGGTGCAGAGTGGGAAGAACAGGCGACTCGGGCCTGCTCTGGTGAACACCTTAGAACACGCCGAGAAGGAGCAGCCCCATGGAGAGCAGGAGGACAGCCAGACCCTGGGCTCCTAGCATTTGTGAAGAGTAAGGTCCTAGAAAGAAATGCCTAATGCACTTACTTCTCGGAGCCTCACTTTCTTGGTCTGGAAGATGGGCCGGTAGCATCTGCCTCAGATTTGTTTTGAGGCGCAAATAAGATTGGCATTCTTCTCAGAGGTTATACAACTGGAAGGGACAAAGCCAGGATTCTTGCCCAGACTGTGTGCCTCTGATGCCCTGGCTCTCTGGCCCTTGCTGCCTCTGGGGCAGGGGTGTGTGTGTGTGTGTGTGTGTGTCTGTGAACAGAAGAGCAAAGGAGCTCTGAGCCTGCAGCACCTGTGCAGGTTCTGGGCTCAGTTGAGGGCCAAGACCTCACTGGGGTGTGGTAGGTGTTCTTGCTGGGTGGGGAGCACATAGAGGCTGATGGACCCTCCCCTGGGACATATGCCCTGGCCCCACCCCACAACCAGAATCTGGGGCAGCCCAGCTGGATCTGGGCTCCATATGGGCTGCAAAGCTGCTACCACCCTGTTTGAGGGAGGGTGGGCTGCTGGTGTGTGTAGGTCTGTGTGTGTCAATGTAGCCCCATATGCGTGTGTGTGTGTGTGTGTGTGTGTGTGTGTGTGTGTTGAGAATGACAGTGTCTCCATCTCTGGGTGTGCCCACATGTGCACTTGGAGCTGAGGAGTCCATGCCTGCGTGAGTGGTGTGTGCTGCATGCCTTCCTCTCTGGATGTGTCTGACTGTCTTGGCGGAGACCTCTCCACGTGCACCTGAGCTGCTGTTCCCCTGCCAGGAGCGCCTTATGGGCCGCTCTGCTGTGGGAGGGGAGGAGCGGGGAGGGGAGCAGAGGGACATTCCCACACTGCGATGAGCCAGGCTCTTGAGCAGAGAGCCGTGAGACCACCTCAGAGTAATGACTGAGCGTGGCCTGGCTCAGGCCAGTGGCAATTCCAGAGACAGCTCCTGGGCTGGGCTCTATCAGGAGAAAGGGGGCTACACCCCTGCTTCTGGGGGTCTGCAACTGGCCCTTCCCTCACCAGCCCTGGAGCCCAGCAGACGCCCCCCCCCCCTCCGTGCCTACTCCCTGGGAGGCGTCTGACACATGATTTATTCATAAAAAGCCATTATTTGTGCCAAAGAAGAACTGAGCTGCTCGCTTTTTAAGTGCTGATAATGCTCTCAGCCTCCTTGCCTCTCCTCTCCCATTCCCTCCCCTCTTCTCTCTCTTATCTTCTCTCTCACCTCCTTGGGACTTCCCATCCTTTCTCCACCCCCTTTTCTTCCCCCTCCCCCTCCTGGTCTCCCTCTCTAGTCCTTTATTGTTCTCCTCATACCTCCTCTCCTCCCATTTCATTCTCCTCCCCTCCCACCCCACTTACCTCCTCCCCACTTCCGCTCTGCTATTAGGGGTGTGAGAC